CGCTTTACAAATAATTAATTAACCCTGATGGCTCGTTAGGGACGTTAACGTGCATGAAACGCGATCATTTTTTATTGACCTTCCCTGAGGAAGAAGACAGGAGAGCGAAGAGGAGGCCGTTTGAAATAGGCCAATCCTGCTCTATTTTCGCGGTGATAGTTGACGTTGGCAACTGCGTTGGCAGAGGTTGCGATTGTACGAGTGCCAGTAACAATTCGTTCCGGAGCTGTTCTCCGCCTTCGTTTCATGAATGAACGTAGAGCCAGCGTTCGTTTCTCATCCCCTCTCGCCCTTCCATCCCTCCCTGACCTCACGTGATTACCGTCTAACGCTTCTAACGCGGTCTCCTTCTCTCCTCTCTCTATAATGCTCGCGCGCTCTCCTCTCCTCTCCTCTCCGTCCTGTTTCTTCTCTTCGTTTCACTCGGTTGCGTCCTGACCACTCGGTCTCTCTTTGTTCTCGCCTCTCCTTCGCCCTTTTCTTTCTTCCCTCGTACGCTCCTCTTTGTTCTTCCTCCTACTATATAGCTCCCCCCTTCGTTTTATATTCCTTCGAGCTCTGCCTCTGTCGGAGCGAACACGAAATCTTGGATAGCGTGCGCTTATGTAAGGCGTGATGTTTAATTGATAGCTTCGAGTCAGAAAACTATGTAAATGATCGTTCATATAACAGGGTTATACAAGTTTGGAATTAAATGAACGCGTGAATTCACGTGTAAAAGAAAAAGAAAAAGATTAGAACAATGTCACGTTGTATTTCGAGTCTCGTTAAGCATTTTAATCAAGTTGCACGTAAGCCACCCTTCTCTCGCTTCTTTCTTCGAACTCGTTGGTTCACCAACGGTGATCCAACAAGGTGATATTCTCACCGTTTCTTCGTCTGGTTTCGCCTTGTTTAGCGTCCGCTGGCCTCCATCTGTTCGGATTAGGTCGACTTGGTTGCCAGCTTACGCACTTTTGCCCCGAGTTTGAGCAACCAACTCTCCTGATACGACCTAATACGGTGGATAATATCTTTTTCGGACGCTAGATCGGTTTGGAAACTCGATGGTGCACCGAATCTTTTTTTAAAGTACGGTACCACGATGATTATTCTATCGACGATCGATCGTTGTAACAAATTAATAAGAAAAAATACTCCATCTTCGCAGCGTTATTCATCGAAAGAGATCATCCCGTAGGAATCGTAAACGAGTTATCTGAAAAGGAAGGAAGGAAGGAGCCTTGGTAGCAGCGGAAAGGAAGAGTAGTAATCCTTCGAAAGCGAAAGGGACGTGGAAGAGACGGAAAGTCGGTGAGTTAGTTAAGAGGAACGGGATGTAGGGACAGGCGGGAAGAAACGCGTGCACGGCAGCCGGTGCTCGGGGGCGGAGAAAGGAGAAATCTAAGTCGCCAGAAATAGCATCCCTTCTCGCATCATGTAGCCAGACCTTCTGCATGCGCCGTTCGTTCTAGTCGCATGCACCGTTGCCTCACCTACGTCACACGCTCTCTCGCGCCTCGTGCGTCGTCGTCCTCTCTTCATCTCTTTCTCTCTCTCTCTCTCT